GGTGTCCAGCAGTTGGTCCACATCAGCTGTCTGAGCCTCCCCGGCCAGTAAAGATGGCAACATTGGGCACGAGTGTCAGGCTCAGGCCTGAGGCCTGGAAACCCTGCTTCCAGCACTTTCCTTGGTGTCTCAGGACCTAGAGCCAGTTGAAGAGCATTTCAGTTTGTAGCCTGCGTGCCAAGGGCCCGTACACTGTACTTCCTGCACCCCCGAGCGGAGGAGGCTCAGAGGGAGTTGTTCTGAGGGCCAGCGGATGTCAGGGAACATCTTGATTCATCTTCTGAGACCCTTTGCCTCAGGCACTAGGAGTGACTCCTTAGTTTAAACCCAGGGCCGGCTCACGTTGACACGGTTGCGGTCGTCACTGGCTTACCAGCAGGGCTCTGCGGCAGGTCCTCCCCCTGGTCCGCCCATGCAGCTACTGTACCTTACATCTGCACCTGCGCCTGGGTTTATCGCCAGCCCTAGCGTCCTCCCCAGTCCTACTGATAGGCTGAGCCTTTTCTCTGAGCTACGTCTCAATGCACCTGACCCTCCACTAAACCCTGGGTGCAAGGGAAGGTAACATGGTGACCCACTGGCCCCCTTTCCCCGGCCATTGGGAGTTTATTTCCAGTGAAGCACGCTGGGAAATGTATTTAGCACATGGTTGATTGTGCCAGCCAAGAGTGCGTGCCAGAAACGCAAGAGGTTCTTTAAGGGTGCCAAGGACTGACATCATGCATCTTCTGTTGGAAACTATACACTTTACAATTTGGAGGCTCCTGTGTGCTGCCTCATATCTTCAATCAAATTATTATATCCTAGAAATATGCATAAGGGAAATGATTCGACACACTATGGGGGCGGGGGTTGGTGCTTGTAGCGGTAATTGAAGTACCTTTCCACTTATGAAAGTACTAATTTTATTTGTTTTTATTGCTTTTCTAGATGCAATTATTTATTTAGTGTGCTTTGGCTTTATTAGATTATGTTTACTATAGGAACATCATGAAAATGTATGAATACAACACACCAGCCACGCCAGCCTGGCGACCTGCATTGAGAGAGCTAGTGTTATTTTTCATATCCAAACGTAATGGGATAACTTAAGAATAAACAGATAATCTACACTAGAAAACAATGCGATTTTACGGTAATGCAATAAAACACCTGGACAATATGATTTCATAAATCTTGGCTCTAAAATTTACATGAGTTGGGTTTTGAGTGCTTATCTGAGGACACATGGCATTTCTAAATGGAACCATAATGGGAAATGCAATTAAACCAACGGCAGGACGGGACGGGCTTTTTGTTGGCTGGTGAGATATGATGACTGAGAAGCAATGTAGAGTTTGGGTGTCAGAAGATAAGCAGGGGGCTCTCATCCCTGTAAATGCCCTTAACTTGGAAATGTCAGTGTGGCCAGTCTGTGGAGGTGGCTTGGCAGTCGGCCCCGATGGTGCGACTACAAGTTCTGCCGTATTCTCTCCTGCTCCCTGTCCCTGTTATGATGTTTCACTCAAAAGAAAAGGGGCTTTCTGTTTGGGGCATGCTTTTAAGAAACTTAAAAGAATGGTTCATTTGCTCTGAATTTTTGTGAGATAACCAAGATATAAGCACAAAAGAGCAGAAATCAAAACAAAACAACAGCACAACGAAAGCCAAAAGAACAAAACACAGCAACGTGGCTGCGTATGGGAAATCAGGTGTCTTTTATGACTGAAATTAGCCAATGCCTTTTATTTTTCTAATCATGGATTAGAATTATTTAGCTCATTGTTTATATGCATGTGCCTACCACAAAGTATGTGATGGAGGGAGCCTCCCTGGCCAGAGGGGTCGACGGCACCAGGTCCTGATGTTTCCAGCAGGTTCTGAGAGTTTTCTAAGCATCCTATATAATAAAACCCTAATATGCAAATCGACTGAACAGCAGAATCACCAGTCACTATGATGCACACTGACTACCAGGGGTCAGATGCTCAACGCAGGAGCTGCCCTTTGGTGGTCAGTGCACTCCCACAGGGGGAGCACCGCTCAGCCAGAAGCTGGGCTCACAGTTGGTGAGCGCAGTAGCGGTGGCGGGAGCTTCTCCTGCCTCACACTGCTCAGCCAGAAGCTGGGCTCACAGTTGGTGAGCACAGTAGCGGTGGCGGGAGCTTCTCCTGCCTCAGCACTAAGGACCCCTTGGGGGAGGTCCGACTGCCGGCTTAGAGGGAGCAGGCCTAACCCGGCAGTCAGACATCCCCCATGGGGTCCCGGATCTATTTACTCACACACACATTTACACAAATGGCAGTAAAGCATGTGGTATACATATAGCTCCATCATTCCTTGGAGAGACTGTGGTATATGCTCCATGTAGAATGCACCAGTCTCTGTTGATGCTCATTTAACTGTTTCCGGGTTTTTGCTGCGCCAATAAACACCCTCACCAACGATGTACAAGAGGACCTATTTCCTTCTATTTCTTGTGGCAATCTTTCTTTAAAATTTATTCAAGTATAGATGAATAAATTGAAAATTTGTGAAAAGTCCTCTTTATATTAGTTTCATGTGTATAGCTAGTGGTCCGAATGTGGCAATCTTTCTTTAAAATTTATTCAAGTATAGATAACATACAATGTTATATTAGTTTTAGGTGTACAGCTAGTGGTCCGACGTTTGTATTCCTGATGATGTGATCCCGCGATAAGTCCAGTGCCCATCTGTCACAGTGCAGAGCCATTGCGATGTCATCACTGTGTTCCCCGTGCTGTGTCACATCCCGTGACTTGCTTGTTTTACAACTGGAAGCTGTGCTTCCTATTTCCCTTCAGCTGGTTCACCCATCTCCCACCCTCCCTTCAGGCAACCATCAGTGTGTTCTCCTGAAAGACAAAAACTGAGGTAAAAGTGTGATAGTAAGTCCCAATTCTCTTGTTAGGAGGAAGGCTGGCTCTCCCTTCGCTGTCAGTCATTTGTGTGTCCTCCCCTGTGTGCTCTCTGGTCCTGCCCGTTATTTTTTCTTTGTTGAATTGTAAAGCCCTTTGTTATGAGTTACAAATATTTTCCTCATTTTTTCAATTGTCCTTTGACTTTATTTAGAGACTATGTTGCCATATATAGCATGGAAATGTCCTTATCTTTCTCTATCCACTTCCAAATTTTGTATCATACTTTGAAATACACTTCACATGCTGAAATTATTTTTAATGTTTTCACACATTCTTCTAGCACTTTTGTGAGTTTATTTTCCACATTAAAATGTTAAATTCATCTGGAACTTCTCTGGTGTAAAGACTGATACAGGGATATAATATATTTTCAAATGGCTACCCAAGTATCCTGCCACCATTTATTGAAAAATAATATTTGGGTTAACTTCTGGATTTTCTCATCAGTTCCATTTGTCTATTCATTTGCCAGCACCACAGTATTTTAATGATTGCAGTTTATACTTCTAAAATCATTGGAATTGGATCACCAAATATTTATTTCAATGATGTTCCTTAAACATGGTAAATATATGCATATTTATGCCTATTTTATTCAAAATTCATTTTTAAAAAGGTTATTAAATTTTATTAGATGAATTTCCAGTATCTATAAAGATAACAAAATGGTTTTTCATCTATTACTATTGTAAATTATAGTAATAGATTTTGCATTCCTGAAAGAAAATCAACTTAACATGATTATCTAACTTTTAATATACTTCTTCATTCTCACTGAGTAAATTTGATTTAAAATTTATATTAATAAATGAGATTGTTCTAAAATATGAATTTTTTTATTTTTTATGCACTGGATAATTTTAATTATATTGGAATTATCTGTTCCTTAAAGAAACTTTTTTCTTAGAAATTCTCATATAAAACTACCTGTTTGTGAGAGAGCTTTTGACAATATTTTTTCTTTCTCCTTTTCCCTCTTTTATGCTCTCTTCCTTTTTTCACTTTCTTTTATTTTGTTGATGATAATTAGTACATTCATATTTGTTAGAGTTTAATGCTTCTAATTTATATTTTTCTGGGACATCACCCATTTTATCCCGTATTTCCAATTTTTTGCAGTTAGTTGAGCAAAGTAGTTTTTTATTTTTTATTTTTATTTATTTAATTTTAATATATTTTTATTGATTTCAAAGAGGAAGGGAAAGGGAGAGAAGAGAGATAGAAACATCAGTGATGAGAGAGAATCATTGATCAGCTGCCTCCTACATGCCCCCCACTGGGGATCAAGCCCGAAACCCAGGCATGTGCCCTTGACTGGAATCAAACCTGGGACCCTTTAGTCTGCAGGTCAATGCTCTATCCACTGAGCCAAACCGGCTAGGGCTATTTTCAGTTTATTTATTTTATTGTTTTCAAAGCACAAGTTTTTGGATGTTTCTACTAATTCAATTGTCTTTTTGTTTTCTGATTCACACAGGCTGGTTTTAATTTACTGGTCCTTTGCTTTTATTTAATTTATTTTGTTCTTTTTCTAACTTCTTCAGTTGGATGCTTCATCCATTTAATTCATATTGCTTAATATAAATATTTAAGTCTGATTTTTCACTGAGTACTGTATTTTTTAGGTTCTGGCAAGTATTATTTTATTTATCATTATTTCCCAGATATTCTGAAACTTTAGTTTCCTATGGCTCAAGTCATTTCAGAGAATTTCTAGATGGTAGCATTCTAGTTTTGCTATTAATTTCTAAGATTTTTGTTTCTGTCTTTTTTCCTTTGGATCAGAGACTGTTAGTGACATTGTTTTTACTTTTCAGAATTAAAGTTTACTTTGGCTTCCTGTTTAATTAATTTTTGCCAGTGATCTATATTGACTCGAATTAAATCATCGTGTCTCTGCAGGGCACAGTGGTCTGTGCCTGACGATAAGATGTGTGCATTACTTTATTCAGGTTCTATATGTCCTTGTACATTTGTGTGCACTTGTTCCCCTTTGAATGCAATGAGAACGTGTGCCTGTGAATGAGCGTGCGTGGAGCCCGCTGTGTTCACAGCAAGGCTGTGTGTTGTGTCTTTCAGCCGCGGATCGCCGAGGAGAACCTGACCTACGCCGAGCTGGAGCTGACCAAGCCCCCGCGGACGGCCAAGGGCATCCCCACCAGCACTGTCTATGCCCAGATCCTCTTCCAGGAGAACACGCTGTAACCCGTCCTCTTCCGTGGTCCTGTTCAACTCTGCCACCCAGTTATTTATGAACCCTTGGAAGCGAAGTCCTTGTTTTTGCATTTTCACTTGTGCCTTCTGTGAGGTGGGGATCCCTCTCTTAGGGCGTTCCGGTGCCTTTAGAGGTGCTGGGCTCCTCCCCTCAAGAGTGGGGCCCTGGCCCATGGACAAGTCTTCTGGGACAGTGTTTTCTGGGTATCCAAGGAGATGCTCTGCTGAGCCAACCCCTTCCCAGTTTCAGCTTCTTCCTCTGGATTTTAATTTTTACATCTTAATATTAATCTTTTATCTTTCTGTGTCTGTGATATTAAGCTCGTGGTATATAGTATAGCTAGAGGAATGCCACTATAGGCCAAGGCGTGAGTGGTAGATACGGACTGATTGGTTTTCAGAAGATCAGACAGCTTTGCCAGGGCCCCCAGAGCAGAGCAAACGGCTTATTGCCCCCAGATACTCCACAGGCGCCCTTGTAAACAGATGCCCTGACCCTGCGATTTAAGGGGAGACAGGCATGTGGTGGGGAAGTCTGAGGTCTAACGGACAACGAACTGTCTCTGAAACCCCCACCACAGACAAGCAGAGCCCTGCTACGGGCCCACCCCTGCGGCAGCATGGACCAGCCCCGCACAGAAACAGGCATCCTCCAAGAAGGCCTTACCCTTTTCCAGAGGAGCAGGGGCTGCCATCCTGACACCGAGGAAGCGGCCTCCGGGATCTGGGCCCAGGCCACCACTCCGACTGGATGTCTACTCCCTGGAGCGCGGTGTTGCTGGGCCCTCAGGGTGGAACTTCGCAGAGCAAGTCCAGGGAGGAGGGCATGTGGCTAGACAGTGCTCACGTGTCTAGGGAGCGTGAGAAGTGCACGCCCTGGGAAGGTGGTCCTAAGGACCCTACTGTGCAAAGGGCCTTGCCCTCCTGAACCTGTGTGCACTTCCTGGTGGGTTTGGGTGGGGGTCTGGCAGGATCGTGTGGCGTAGTTGCCCAGGGCCTCACTGAAGATGACTTGTTCTCACAAGGACCATCCTGCCAACCGTGTGGTTAAGGACACTGCTTTCCACGTGAGTGCGGTCTGGGTTACTATTGCCCATGACAGACATTGTTTGGTTACGTATGGACCATGTACATGTGATAAATTACATACTTTAAACACAGTCTTGAGTGTGAGCGGTGCCCCTTGTGCAACCACGTGAATTTCACTTGGTCAAGTGTCTTATCCTCTAATCGTCTCAGACTCATGTTATCTAATAAAAGAGAAACATGCAAATTGACCGTACCCCTGCTACACCCACAAGCCATACCCACAAGCCATGCCCACAAGCCAATCAGGAGCGAGTATGCAAATAAACCCAACCAAGATGGCGGCGGCCATGGAGCTGAAGCGAACAGGAGGCTTGGGTTGCTCCTGGTGATGGAGGAAGCCAAGCTTCCCATCTGCCCTGGCCGGCTGTGGGCTTCACTCAAGGCTACAAAGTTTCAATTATAGAAGATAAATAAATCCCAGATACCTGCTTCCAGCC